ATTTGGTATGGGTTACGTAGAATCTAGTAGGGAGTATCTAGCATACTACCTCCGTCCTGATTTATTGGTCCTCATTATATTTTATTCAAAATTTTGACCGTACATTTAACTAACAAAATATTCATGCATGTCACAAAAAATTATATCACTGAAAACTAGGTCCAAATACAAATCCAACGATATAATTTTTGTTAGCATGTATTAACATTTTATTACTTGAATCTTTACTCAAAATTTGGCAAAAAATACAAATGGGGCTTATAAACCAGGACAAAGGTAGTAATTAGGAGTATGTAGCGTACTCGCCATGTGAGCATATATCTAAAACCTCCCATAGAGTACTAGCGGCTTTATGACTTTTTTGGTTGCTGGTGTGTGGATCTTAGTCACCTATTTTGTTTTATCTGATTGAAAAAGATGTCAAAACTACTTGTAAGTTTTTTCCACATAGTTTGCCTTGGATATCTTATAAATAGTATACTCCCTCCATTTACTTATAAGAGGCCACTGTGGAATATACACTTTTCATATATAGAAGGTCACCCATAGTAACCAAGGCAAAAATTAATGATGTTTCCTCGTACTAAAAATTTGTTCAATATTTGTATGCATGCATTCATAATGACCCTCAACTACTTCTTCCAATCAATTTTCCTGAATGCATGCGGTGTATTAATGATCCCAGTAAACGATAAAAAAATTAGGTTACAAAACATGTACTCCCTTCATTCCCTTATACAAGGTCACAAACTCAAATTACAAGTACCAAGTTAAAATTTAATGATTGCTTTGTAAGCACGCTTTTCTTTTCGTTAACCAGGATTATTAATTTGCCGCATGCAATCAATGAAGGAATGAGAAGGAAGTAGCACATTGTTATTATGACTACATGCATGCAAATATTAAACAAGTTGGTAGTACGAGGAAACATCATTAATTTTTGCCATGATAGATCACTACAAAACAATCATAGAAGGGCATCCATGACAAATTCAAAACACATCATGTATATCGCGTCATTGATTAATTAACCCGGTGTCAAAAATTTCAGACTATCAAGTATTGGGAAAATCTATGATATTTCTTGGTTGTCACACCAGACCTAGACATGTTCAGCCCGGTACACACCCGTGCATTTACGGCAGTCTAGAAGAGTGTCATAGATTCAAAAATCATGGTAGACAATGTGGATATGACATGGCAGCCCGTGTAGTAATCGAACCAATTAAGGTTGTCGCCTACTCGTGTTATTCGGTATGTCTTCAGCCCATTAATGTCAATCCGGACCATTAACACATTTCATTCGGTCCATGAACATATTTTGAAGCTAATATGATTAAACAAACAATAAAAATTACACTCTACATGAAACTTTGACACAAGACACATGCCTTGGAGCAAAAGAAAACAAGGACCAAAGAAAACTTAAATTCCAAAAAAGTCCCTATAGATTTGTATGCTCCTCTAATGCAATAGTGACCACACCCTCCACAATTGTGCATCGCTCACCAGAAGTTCTCGACGGACTATTCCTCCATGATGGAGGCCACAAATTTGGTCGCCTTGATGGTAGCATTGTTTGCCATCTTCGTATCTTTCCGTATCACCTCGACCACCAACAACGTCTCCCATTTATGCGAGAGTTCTGTCAGGGATGTCACCTCCAGGATAGATGCATCATGATCTTGCGAATTCGTGACCAGTGCACATGCAGTAATGGTACTCCCCATTTGGCAACTATTAAGTTTGAACCCCAGTGAACTTTATTCATCATTTTCACTTATTTAGACTACAACTTCTTTCAACTTCGGTATGCGCAAACACACATTGATGTGCCAGCAATGTAATATTTATATTTTCTATTTCTTGAAATACTAAGTTACGACACCCTGTGTAGTACTTTACAGATAAATGTGTATTTAACATTCTTTGAACTTTTTGATACATGGAACATAATACATCATATTGTTAGTTTCAAAGTTATGACTTTTTATGAATTCATTTCCTATCATTTAGGTATTAAATTAATATATTGCTATGAGTTGCCTTATTTAACCTCCGAGTTTTACATTGGACATAACCCGTCGAATTTGTGTTGTTGAAGATGGTGGTCTCAACCTGCTACCACATTGGTCAAGGATTATAGTTGTATTGGTAGATTGGCATATAGTATTTTTGGTTGATCGAATACAGCTTGTATATTACTCTCATGGTCTCAACTCTCTAGTCATTTATCAATACAATGATAATGTCGTATGCATATGTTTGAGACTGTATTTTGTGCACCCAATCTGATGCAATTCTTCACCATTATCTGCATTCCTAAATTTGTGTTTGAAAGTGGACAGCTAGTTGACACTCCTTGTTGGTTTGCATGGAAGAAAAATCAGAATTACATGTATATTCACTTGAGAGTGTACGAATTGCTCTGTGTGGTTACTCTAAGGTATTAGGGTCATGCCCTGCAGTGCCGGTGATCACGTTTTCAGAGTTGGGTGCTGTCATTCCGTGCTGCTTTGCCATGTTATGCAATTAGACTTTGACCTTACCATGTTTTTTTGTCATTACTGATTTTACGTATATATGTACAGTTGTTGCATTTCTGCATCAGGCCTTTAATAATGGCTGAAGGGCCGTTAGACTTCTGGATTAACTGGGCGAGCCAGATCGGGGTTCTCTTGAGCCTGGCCTTCCAGGTCATCCTCCACCTCTTCGCCAACGTACGACGGCGTAGTAGATCACCTATGCTGAGGCTTCCCCTCTGGTTGGCGTACCAGCTGTCTGACATGACTGCGACATATGCTGCCGGCCAACTCCTCTACAGCAGCAACACACCACAAGACCACCAACTCATTGCCTTCTGGGCGCCATTCCTCCTGCTGCACCTCGGTGGCCCGGACAACATCACTGCATATGCCCTTGAGGATAGCAAACTCTGGACGCGCCACTTACTCAGCCTTGTGGTGCAGGTAGTTGGAGCCGGATATGTTCTCTACAAGTACATCGCCGGCAGTGAGATCATGCTCACACTGGCTGCCATCTTGATATTTGTTGTTGGTGTTGCAAAGTATTTGGAGCGGATATGTGCGCTATTGTTTGCCAACTTCAGCAGCCTCCAGAGCTCTCTCAAGGTTGCCTCCCACAAAAAAAAGAACGAAAAGAGCTCTCTTAAGGTACCACGGCAGTACCAGCATTTTTATATTGAGCATCAAGACTGGTACAGTGACTTGGCGGACGAGCACCTCCTGCAGCGTGCTCACTCCCTGTTTCATATCTGTAAGCGTGGGATAGTGGATTCTGTGATCGAGGTGGATTTAGCTAACCCGAGTGAGGTGGTTTCTCTGGATAACAAAACAATCCAGGGCCTTTTGGAAGACCCTGAAGACATGTGGAGGGTGATGGAGATGGAGCTCTCTCTCATGTATGATATCCTGTACACCAAGGCAAGTGTGATCCACTCTTGGGTTGGCTACTGCATCCGTCTTATCTCGCCGGTCGCAGTTGCCACCTCGCTCGTGTTGTTCCATTTGAGCAGCAAATATGGTTACAGCCAAGTCGATGTTGCCATCAGTTACACCTTGTTGGGTGGCGCCTTGGTCCTGGAGACCAAATCGCTCCTTGGCGCACTAGGGTCAAGCTGGGCTCTTGCCTTCTTGTGTGTCACAGAATGGGATTGGCTCCGACATTCAGCTCTGTGTACTGGAAGGTGGCATCGGCTTCGGCGTGCACTTGTTTCTCTTCGACGGTCCTGGATAGGCAGGATGATCATGACAGGAAGCTCGAGGAGGTGGTCAGGCAGCATGGGGCAGCACAGCATGTTGAGGTTTCGTGCCAGACAGGTGGATCTGGTCAGTCGATACCTCGGCGATCTGTCCAAGATGTTGAGACTCGGTGGGTGGTGGGACAGAAGGCACGTATGGACCATCGATGTCTCTGAGAAGGTCAAGAAATGTGCAGAGGACTGGATGGTCTCAACCGGTGATATGAACACAATGGGCTTGCGGAGGACTAAATGGGGTGGACTGGCACGGAAGCGCTACCCTGAGCTGTTGAAGGAGTGGGAGGATTATAAGTTAGTTGACTTCCATGAGAGCGTCATCTGCTGGCATATCGCCACCAACTTAATCCTTGCTAAAATAGATCAATGGGGCAGCGACGATGTGGAGGTGGTCAGTGTGCTGTCCAACTACATGATGTTCCTCCTTGTGGACTCACCCGACATGCTACCCGGCCTTCCCCAAAACTGGCTGTACGAGCAAACCTGCAAACAATTGGACACGATATGTGAACAATTTACCGGTTCTCCTAGCAAGGAGATCGCCAATGCAATACTGAAGCAGGGGGGGCCTACTAACTCTGAAAATCCTCGGCTCAGTTATGCATGTGTCATTGCGGAAGATATGCTTTATAAGGAGGGTGTGGTTACTGCTCTGAAAATGTTGTGGTTGGACTTCCTGGCCTACGCAGCCAACCGGTGCAACAGGGAGGCGCATGCGAGGAAACTCGGCAGCGGCGGTGAGTTGCTGACTTATCTGGAACACCTCCACCAAGTAAAAGAAGGCAGAAGGGGCTGAATCTTGAATAGTTCAGTGTACTTTAATGAATATCCAGAAATATCTTCACTTTGTACTTTGTAAGCGTATCTTTCTTCATATCAGCACTTCTTGCTCAGTTTCCTTTGATGAATACATTGGAGCATAGAACGTCAGTTGACATGCTCACTAGCCCAGCAACGATTTAGTGAACAGATTGTGTTTTTATACGGTTTTTAGTTGCAACGATGATATGCGAACAAGTTCAAAAATAGATACAGGTCCAGGGGTCTTAGTCAGCAGAAAGTCATGTCCAGTTGGTGTTGTGTGAAGTAGCTGGTTCTGACGGAGTTCCTCTACTGACAGCGTGGGGGTATAGGAGCTTCAGGTGCGGGCAATGCATAGGAGTTTAGCGATGGCATCGGCTACAGCACACATTTTTTAGAGCTGCTTGCTGCAGATGGAATGCTGACCCTAGGTGCTGCAAGTCTTTGGAGGACCTGTGGTTTGGGAATGCTTCTCTTGCTATTAACTTTTTTAGAGCTGCTTTGATCTGAAAATTAACATCCAGAAGAACTTTCTCTGATGGTTAGATGTGAAAATTTTCAACGAAGCCGGGGAGGAGACCTTGTCGATGACAGCCCGGAAGTCTTCGTGCATGTGCCCCGAAGGAACAACGCCCTGAACTGTAGTCATGCCGTTGAGTCCTTGAATCGATCTGAAGAACCTGACACCAAATATCGCCATGTGTACAAACCCTAACCTCGCTGCCCCAAGAGCTGGCAGGAATCTACGCCAGAGCTTCATCTAATACATTCCAACAGACGAACTTGAGGAGGATCAAAGACAGGAAGACTGACTCAAAGAAGGTGCGCCGCCATCCGTCCAAATGCCGCCCGGAAGGACTAAAATCGTACCTATCTACTAGCGGGATTCGAGACACCAGGATTCTCCTCCCCGTCACCGGCCGCCGGAGCGGCAGGCGGAGGGGAGGAGAAGCCACGGATCGTCCGCGGGGATAGAAGGGAGCAAGGCTTTCCCAAATCACCTTGGGAGAGAGTAAAGAAAAGCCAACACCTATGGAGAGAATTAGTTCCTGCGCGTTCCTCCTTCGCCGCCTGCCTCGGGGTGTGGGAATGAGCTGAGCCATTTTTTGTCTATCAGAAACATAGAATTTGTAATAGATACATCAAATCGTGGGCTATCACCAACTCGGACGTGGGTCCAGCCCATGTCCTTCTGCTTGAGTGTGCCTATATAGTGGAGGCGTCGGCAACCCTGCCCGCCACCTGAAGAACATATCACATCTTCTCTGCCTTCACACGCACCGCCCGTCCCGTTCCGTTTGCTACTGCTACCGTCAGTGATCCCATCCAGTCCACTGTGTACACGGTTGACGGGAGAGCAGGCCTTCAAAACCCCACTTCTCGAGTTCATGTACGGGAGAGGGGTGATAAGATTTTTTGGAGCGTCTCCTATGTGACTAATTGCCTCCGTTCGTCTGCATACACTACATCGTCTATGTCCGCGTTGCCTTTGTCACCGCCATGGCCACCGAAGTCGACCGACTTGTTGCCGAGAAGGCCGCTATTGACAAGAAGGCCGTCGAAGACGCCGCTGTTGCCATCGCCTCTGCGGCTTTGCCATGGCCTACTGGAAGGTATAACTCATTTATCCCGCTCTTATTTATTTCTTTCTTAGCAGTACTAGCTATGTGCGTAAACGTGTCTACTATACGTGTACTACGTGCTTACCTGGATAGTAATCAGTGTGTGATTAATTTTGTCAAGGCCATGCTCAACAGATCTAGGCCGGCCTGGAACTTGACACTGGCCAACCGGATCCCTAACAACATCAGGAGGATCAGGTATTTGCACTTTGCATCGTCTAGAGCTTTCTTTGGTAGTAGGGCATTGTAGTGCGCTCTGTTCTTCTGCCCTGCCATAAGAATTTCTAGGGTTTATTATCGTTTTGCTCTCAGTGGTGTCCATTTGCTCAGTTTTGTCCTCAGTTGCGAACCGTGCTCATTTTTGCCCTGAAGTGCACTCTGGATGCCCTGCAGCGACCACCACCGCCTCCGCCGAATTTCAACTATGTCTGCTGTAATTGAAAGACATATGAAGATGCGTGGTGGTCAGGAAGTAATTCCGGTGATGCAAGATTAGCACAACGAAGAAGTGGGAAAACAATTCCCTAGCTCGGCGAACAGGCGAAAGCAATCGTGCCCCCTGCTCCAGGTGTCTAGCGATATCGTCGCTAATCATCCGGGGCTAGTGCCCAGTACCAATCCTAGTGATTACCTGGGCGATGATGTAGACTTTGAAATGTTAGAAGTAGAGATCTTCAGATACAAGTACGGAAAGCCTCCCGTCAAACCTGATCCTCCTCCTCTCACAACGATGATGCGAACATTGCATGAATGGTATATGGATACCTGCAGGAAGTCCTGGAAGGATAGTTTGATGGTGAGAATTAAAGATGAGCACGACCTCATTGGAACCGACGTGCTGCCTATTGAATTTCAGGAGTTATTTCAGTTATTCAATCAAGACGCCCTCGACAAACAACTCATGACTTGCTACTGTTTGTAAGTATTACTTCTGTAATTAAGTCTCTATAGCTCAGCTCATTCATTGCATGTATATATAATTATCCTTACTATGTTATGCAGATTGAAGATCATGAATGCAAAAAAAGACAAATCTATGACATTGGGTTCATTAACCCAAATACCATAAATAAATGGTTGGTCGAAAATGTTATCGAAGATACTGAAAAAAACATGCTACAATCGTTACTTCTAAATCAAAACAAAGGGAAAATACTCTTTCCTTACAACTGCAAGTGTGTATTACTGTCTTGTGCATCTTCGGTTTCACTTACTCGAGGTTATAGTAATGTAATTATGAGTTATGCGTGCGCAGGTTCCACTTTATTCTGCTAGAGATTAAGCTTGACGGGTGAGTAGCCACTGTCTTAGACTCAAGACGTAAAGATCCCCAGGAGTATGCGGACATGACTGCAATGCTCCAGAAGTAAGTTCAATCAATCATTATTGCACCATATCAGCAACTTTCGTTTCATTTCCTCATATGAAATAATCATTTTCTTTGCCTGGCAGGCTTTGGAAACAGTTCACCAGAAGGGTTTCGGGTCTGCAGAAGTAGCTGCGATTTAAACATCCCAAAGTAAGTAGTACTAGCTAGTTTCGTGCATCTCTCATTGGTTCTTATTTCATTAATACCATTTATCATGCTTCATTATCAGTTTGATTGAACTCTATTTCTGGTAAAGTGCTTGTGGCAGGAAGTCGGGAATAATTTATGTGGATACTATGTTTGCGAGTTCATCTATAATTACCATCAATTGTGTTGAGTTTTTCATTCACACACACACACACACACACACACACACACACACACACACATATGTATGTATTGACTCCCTTCTTTAAATTAGATGTGGCAGATGAGGGATGAACTCCTACCACATGATCGCATACGAGCAATTCAAGAGGAATTGCTGGGTTTCTTTTTTGACCACGTAAAAAATGAGAAGGGAGAATTCCATGTGGAAATTGAAATGGATTTTAGATGTTAGACATTGTAAGAGATGCTATATTGTATATATGTAATAGCATCGGATAGATATACGAAAACTTGTTTTTCGACCAATCTTGGAGAAAGAGAAGTCACTTCTCTCTGTATATATTCATGACGATCTTGTGTAATTAACGGTTCCTTCATTTGCTTACTAGCTAGCGTGTCGAGTTCTCTCTATACGTATAGTAGCTACCGTCTACCAAGCCCGGAGAAAGAGAGGTCACTTCTCTCTATTAGGTAGCTAACACAATATGAAACCCTTAAATTAACCTTCCAAAACCCCTAAACCACCCCCCTCCCCCCTTAAAAAAAACCACAGCGCCTGCGAGCGGCTGACACGTGAAAGCCTTTTGGTCCCGATTGGTGTTATCAACCGGGACTATAGGTCCTCCTGCCTGGGCGCCCTACAGCGGCCATGTGGAGCCCCTTCTGTCCCGGTTCGTAAGCGAACCAGGACTAAAGGTTTTGGGTTTTAATTTCGACCCTTTTGTCCCGGTTCCAGAACCGAGGCTAAAGGGCCTCTGGAACCGGAATAAATGGGCTGTTTTCTAGTGATGCTTAACATAATGTACTTGGGGAGTCAAAATGCTCTCCATTCAGCCCGGGGGACAGATGAGGTTGAACGTACCCACGGTTCCGTCAGGGTAGCAAGTTCAGGGCAGGACAAGGAAGAGCCAATATTTCAATGGCCTATAGCTAACATAGATTGAAAAAGGTATTGTTAGCTTGATTTGTCGCCCACCATCTCGACTGAGCTGCATCTCTAGATCTGCATCAGTAAGAAACCAACTTGTTAATAAGCAGCATCTCCAGATCTGGATCAGTGGAAAATAGCTTGTTAATTGACTAATTACCTACCTCGAAATGAAGGTTTTGGCGCATGCATGCCAGCAGGCAGCTGTCAGTTTAAGTGGAGAACTTATCATCGTGGATCTTGTGACAGAAACAACAAGGTTAGTTACTTCATTTCGAGGTAGGTAGTTAGTTAATTAACAAGCATTGTCGTTCCAGACGGGCTGCTGGTCCAGTCTTTTCTTTGCTTTACTTTTGCCGGTAGAGATGTCAATAGGGGAGTTGAGGTGTCAATAGGAGAGTTGTCTTTTACCTTGTGTTTGGTTCTGGGTCCTTCTCTAGTCAAAGCTAAGAAATACAATAACGCCGGAGGTACCAGTACTTCTTTTCACCCTACTGGTACGAAACATTTCCAAATTTCCATGTGGCCTTGGAAGGTTTCTTTGGCAGAACGAGGTAGACACAAAAAGTTGAGCCATATATAGACCCTTACATACTCAATTTGAACTAAAACCAGGACAATGATTTTGGAATGGAGGGAGTACTAAAATACGTCGTAAATTCAAAATAAGGCAGATACTTAGGTTCACCAAAAAAACAAAATAGGAATGAGTAGCATTGCATAGGAAATTAAGGGAGGAGATACAT